TTTGATACTTAATATCAGTCCTACCATATCTCAGCTTTACTGTGGCCAATTAGATACACAGTCCAGAATCGTCTGCTGTATCCATATTGTTCACCAAGGCTGCAGAAAACTCTCAGCTCTGCACTGGAAAGGAAAAGTCCCTGACAGCTGTCCAGTGATGCCAGCAGTTAAGGGAGCCGCTCATGGCCTGAACTGGCCCGTGGGCTGAGTATTCCTTCCATCCTCCTGCTCCTTATCTACAAAATGAATGCAATCCTTCTGGTGCATTAGAGGACTGTTCCCAATATTAAATTGGACGTCGTACGTGTAACATACTAACAGTATAGTGGAGAAAGTCTAGCCCATAGAGAGTTTCACTTATTCCTCATCTTACCTATAGAGCTAGGAAATCTTTTTTTTTTTCTTTTTGGGTCACACCTGGCAATGCACAGGGGTTGCTCCTGGCTCTGCACTCAGGAATTACCCCCGGCAGTGCTCAGGGGACCATATGGGATGCTGGGCATCGAACCCAGGTCGGCTGTGTGCAAGGTAAACGCCCTACCCACTGTGCTATCACTCCAGCGCTCCCCCCCAGCCCCCAGCCCCAGAGCTAGGAAATCTTGAGGGAAGAGAAAGAAGGCCAAGGAGTTAAAAGAGGATGGATAATCAGGAAAGGTACCTCAAAGCGGGCAATGAAGTCCTTCAGGTTCGGGAAGGCTTCCAGGCTGTTAGGCTCAAACAAGCGGAATCGATCAAGGACGTCATAAGCCAGGAAATCCACATAGGTAAGCTGCAGGGACGCCGGGAGGAGTGAGCACAGACTCCAGTCTTAGACAATGAGAGCTGCCCGGTCCCCAGAGTTTTCCCTTACCTTGTCTCCTGCAAACCAGGACCTCTTTTCCAGAAACTGTGAGTACTGTTTCACCTGGTCAGGAAGTTCCTTCAAGTAATCCGGCTTCAGTTTCTCCTGCGACAAAACCACAGCTCACACACCTGGCTCCCTGAACACTGTCACCTGCTCCCAGGCTGTGCCTGGTCACCCACTGACAGTGGAGAGCAGAGCATGCCAAACTACAACCTGCGTGGGCCAGCTCTGACGTCATCCACCAGTGATATCCGAATCCTGTAACATCTGTAAGCATTCTGGTGGGGTGGGGATGCCCACACAGCAGTGTCCCTGATCTGTCACCCCATATGCAATCCTCTCTCATGGGTAGCCCAGGGAGTCACATGCACCTGACCAGCCATGAACATATTGGGCAGAAGCAAAAACTCAAGGAAAGAGTAGAAAATTCTAGTTGGTGAGCACAGGAGAATGAATGGGTACTGAGCGGCTCTGACACAGGAAAAGTGTTGGGTTGGGTTGGGTTGGGTTGGGTTGGGTTGGGTTGGGTTGGGTTTCTTTGGTTTTTGGCCCACACCCAGAAATACTCAGGGGTAAGTCCTGGTTCTTTGTGCAGGAATCACTCCTATGGTGTTCAGGGGACCATATAGGTTCTAGGAATTGAACCCAGGTGAGCCACGTGCAAGGCAAGTACCCACTGTACTATCTCTCCAGTCCCTGGGCAGAATTTTTTAAGGTCCCAGGTTGGAAGCTGGCCTCTATCTGTGTCCCTGCCTGTGTGTCAGAGCTGGGATGGAAGAAAATCGCCTGAATAGTTTCTAAGAAGAAAAAAAGGATGCTCTAAGGAGTTGGTTTCCACTGCAGTCATGAGCAACCAATGGGGATGAAACAGCCCCCCCCCCCCCCCGCAACCTCTGCTTAGCAAAGCCCCAGCCTCGCTTGGCAGGACGCACAAAGTCGGGGTTGTAACACATCATGGCAAGCTTCATGCGGGAGTCCTTAAACTGGTTCTCCAGGACGTCCACACGAATCTGCTCCTCTTCCGTCTCCCCACCTGCAGACACACAACACACAGTCCCCTCAGCAACCCCAGGCCAGCCCGAGCACCACATCTGTCCCCTGCACCCACCCCACCAACACTCACACAAGTTGTGCTTGCGAGCCAGGTAGCGAAGGATGGCATTGCTCTGGGTGATCTTGTGAGGCCCATCGATTAAGTAGGGCAGCTGAAAGGCAACAGGGCACGTCACGGGGTCCCCAGGCTCCCCTGCACCCCACCTTCCCCACAGGGAACCCGGCCCTCCAGTGCCTGGCCAAGGTAGGCACAAAGTTAACCTGTCAGAGGACTGAGTGAGCTGGAGCCCAGCACCAGGGAGAGGCAGGGTAGCGCCCCAGAAACGCAGGGGGGCAGAGGCACCAGGTCCTGATGCTCTCAGCTGGGACAGGAGAAGGCTCACACCCCTCACACTTCCCACACCCCACACCCCGCCAGGCCCTGCACCTACATTGGGGAAGTCAAGATCCAACTCGAACTTTTCTTTCAGCCACTGGCTTCTGTCATAGTCGGGAGCTGTGTGGGGAAGATGGAGTGAGAACAGACCTCCCCAAAACCCAGCCCTATGCCGGGATGAACAGATCCAGGAGCCCGACCCTGTGAACCGCTGGGTCTGACTCTCACCAAGACTCTCACTGCAGTTTGAGGGGAAGTCACTGAGAAGGCTCAGGGACGTCTGCTCAGGTGACCCAGACAAGCCCACACCATCACTGCTCAGGAGGCTGGGAGCCCCTGTCAGCTTCCCCAGAACGGACAAGCAGCACTCAGGAGGGGCTGAGGGGAAGGACCACCCCCAGCCCCACCCCTCAGAGGAGGCCAGGAGGTCCGGGCATGGAGTGTGGCACCATGTCAGCACAGGCCCGGGTGGCATTACCGTCGCCCATGGAGTACAGCTTTTTCCACATAGTTGGAGTCTGTGTATTCCAGGAGCAGGCGGATGGTGTGAGCCAGCTGGGAGAGATGTGGGGGACAAGAGTGAGAGTGGGAAGATTCTGAAGACTGACGGTCTCTGCTCCAGATGACCCCATACTTAGACCTTCAAGCTTCCCCCTCTTTTAGCCAGAACCTTCAGCTCCAGAGGAACTTCCTGGCAGCATTTCCCACCCGCTTATCTCCATTCCAGTGAGAGATCCCTCACTCACCCCGCGGATGTCCCAGTACCCCAAGGTCATAGACATAGTGCTGGATTTCCTGCTAGTGCTGTGGCCTCTGCAGAGCTCAGGATTTTATTCTTTGACCCAGGGCGGGGCCCAGTGGAGCCGACCTTTCCCCGCCTAATGGGGGCCACGCCCTCCAGGTACCAGCCAATCAGTGAGGACTGAGGGCACTAAGCCTCTAGGACCTGGAGAATGAAATTCAGGACAATCTGCCAACAGGACCTTGGGCTCATGTCTCGGCACCCCACTGCCCACGGTTTCCTGGAGACCAGATCCCCCGGTGGGCTGTGCATTTTCAGGAATAGCCAGATCTTTGAAAGAGCAAGAATTTTCCCTTTATGTTTTCCAGAAAGTCACACTAAGCTTCACCCATATATGCTGATCCCTGATTTCTAAAATCACACTGGCCAGTAAAGGCTGGGCTGGTGCCCCTGGCACAAACACTAGTGACTCCCACAGCTGAACTAAGGCCTCACACGCTCTGCCCTGTGCTGGGGATTGAGCTGGAAAAAGGTCTCAGGTTTGCCCCTTAGGCTCAGGAAAAGGAGAACCACAGAGCACAGTCCGGAGAGGCCTGAGGCCGTGAGAGCCCAGCAAGGCCTAGACTGGCTCTGATCTGAGCCCTCACTCTCCTCCCGGCCTCACTCCCCATCAGTGAAATAGAGCTGACAGTTCTTCCACACGTATAAATGTTTTAATTCACTTTTGATGGTGCCAGGGATTGAACTAATTCCAACATGTAGCTCATGATTCTCTGAGCCCAGCCCTGTACTGGAGAACCATTGTGGGGAGGAAGCAGACCCAGATGCAGCCACGAGTGTTAATTCTGCTCTTCAGCTCAAGGCGGAAACACGAAAGAGAAAAACAAGATCGGGGAAGCCCCTCAAAGCAAGCCCGAATTCCTCCACGTTTAGGAATCCAATCAGGGAACTTGAGCTCTAATACAAGGACCGTGTGGAAATGAAGCAGGATCAGATTCCACAGGTGACTGCAGAACCCCCAAGGTGCACAACCCAACCTCAAGTATCGGGAGAGGAAGACCCTTGAGTCCTTCATCTCCCTCCGACAACCAGCTCTCAGCAGGAACACTGTATTGCTTCCTGCAGATTCTAAAGATTCTTGCGAGTAGTCTGGCTCCACTCTGGACACACCAGAGCTGCCTCGTGTCACCCCCAGATCCAGTGCAGAGATGCCACTCTGAGAGCCAGACCCGGGCCCAGGGGAGCAGCCGTGTCCCAACTGCACCTGAGGGGATCCACAGTGATATCATGCACCTGTGGACCTCGGAGTCTCTGGGCCCCCCCGGAGCAATGAGAGTGTTGGGGAGCAGAGAAGACCCCCCTGGATGTCGTGCTCCTGTCCACGCTGCAGCCCCAGAGTCACACAGATGAAGGGTCAGGTCTTAAATAATAAAGAAAATGCACCATGGAAGGGACTTGCATGACCGCCATCACCCGGCCACCCACTCACTGAACACAACAGGCTCTGAGTGGGGCAGGAGAGGCTGAGACCCCACCTCCGAGCTCCAGACCCCTAAAAGTGGCACATCCGATGCACAGATTCAGACATGCAGGAACAGAACCCCCTGTTCTGGGCAGCGGGACACGAGGGGGGACCCAGAGTCCAGGTCCTGATGGGCACAGCAGCCTGGACACGGCCCCTAGAACCTCTGGGAGGAGACCAGGGACCCCCACACTGCGAAGAACCTCACACCAGGGAGGGAGGCAGACGGGGCTCCCTCGGGGGGCCCCAACTCAGGCCCTGCTCACTCACACACTCAGCCCTGGGCAGGGGGAGACCATCCCACACAGAGGCCGCACTTCCCAGCACCCCACATGCCTCCTTGTCTTGGGGTTCACAGGAAGGGAATCACATAAACCCTCACCCCCCCCCCAGCCCTGCACATCCCATCAGTCGGGGGGTAACATCACCTCCAGGCAGAGAAAAAGACAGGACACAGCAGACCGACAGACCGAGGGAGGTTTTACTGGGGAGCAGCGAGGCTGGGGAACCCCACAGGGAGCTGCCCGGTCTCTAGAGCAGGGTTGAACTTAGGCGGGAGACATAGTGGGCAGTTCATGCCACTGTTTCCCCCAGGAGCAGCGGCCAGGAGCTCCAGCTGGAAGGACCATGAAGACAGAGTCAGGTGGACAAGGGGAAGGAGGAGAAATCATAACAGGCTGATTCTGGGGTGCAGGAAAGTCCAAATATTCATGAGGCTCCACTATAGAAATCACGAACTGCTTGTACTTCCGTCTCCTTCCTGGGAGGCCTACTTGTTGCCCCACAACGCCATTTTTCCGAACACAGGGCGTGGAAGGTAGCGGCTGGACTTCATGTAGGCAGAGATCTTCTTCAGGCCCTACAAGGGGAGGAAAGCCAGATTAGCAATGAGAAATAGTGTGCTCCCCCACACAACAGAGTAAGGACTATGAGGCCAGCCCGGGGCCAAATGACACTATTTCTGGGATGTCCGGTCTAGGATTTGACCCAAATATGACCAATATTTCTGCCACCACAGTTAGTCTCTGCACAGTGCAGGAGTCTGAAATCGCCACAGGTCAAGAAGCAGACTAAAATCAACATTCACCCTACCAGAGAGGCTCAACAAGCAGCTTAGATGGGAAACTGAGGCACACAGGCATGAAGCAGCTTCCTCAGTCCCCACACAGGAAGGAGAACAGCCTGGCTCTCTCCCCATTCTGGACTCTTCCTACAGTGCGCCCATCTGTTCCCCCAGGGTCCCGTCACTAATACCTGCTCCTGCTTCAGAAGGAGGCACCAGGCTTCCCAAGGTCCCAGAGTGGGAGCAGAACGGAATCAGATGCTCCGAGTGTGCTGGGGTAGCCAGCAGAGGCCCGGGCTCCCCGTGACTCAGCAAGCAGAGAAAGGAGGGGGAGCAGGAGGCCAGAGCCCAGACACCATGAGTGCTGGGGATGGGAACAGTCCCAGAGCCTAGGCTGGGCCAGAGTCTTTTCCCAGCTGGCCAGTCAAAAACCTCTCACCAAGGACCTTCTGGGTGTTTGAACCCAGAGCAGACCACTCCTGGTCAAAGGATTCCCACCGGGAAGCCTTGTTAAGACCTGCCAGGCCCAAAGCTAGGGGACGCCCATGTCTCCCATCACGACTCACAGCCTCGCCTAATCCCCAAGGTGACTCACCCCAACAGGCCCAGAAAAGTGAATAGAAGATTCCTCGCAGTGGGGCTGGACAGAGGCAGATTGAAGGTCAGGAACGGGACAGCTGGAAACTCTGTCCCTGTCTGCAGAGCCCTGAGCTGATCCCCATCCTCACACACACCTGCACACACGCACTAAAGCCCCCGAGGGGGACTGAGCGATAGCACTGTGGGTAGGGCATTTACCTTGGATGCGGGCCGACCCAGGTTCGAATCCCAGCATCCCATATGAGCACCGTCAGGAATAATTCCTGAGTGCAGAGCCAGGAGTAACCCCTGAGCATCGCCGGGTGTGACTCAAAAAGCAATAAATAAATAAATAAATAAATTTTAAAAATAAAGCCCCTGAGGGCTCATGCTCTGAACTCCATCTCGGATGCTTAGACATTGCTCCCTGCCAGGGGCACCCATGCCTGAACAAGGCTTGACGTGCTCTGCTCTGTGCTGTGCTGGGAATCAAGTGGGAAGAGGGTCTCAGACTTGCCCCTTTGACTCAGGAAAAGGAGAACCACAACGCATAGCTGGAGCACCCAGGGTGAGGGAGCCCAGAGGGCTGGGACTGGCTCTGATCTAAGCCGTCGCTCCCCTCCCGACCTCACTCCCCATCAAGGAGATGGAGCTGAAGCTTCCAGGCAGCACAGTGCGGGCTGCTGTGAGATGAAACCTGGCACAGTCCCTGCCCCACAATGTTCTAGCAAAGTCCTGCCTGGGGCAGGGAACAGGAGCTTTCCTTCCTTTTAGCTCCAGCCGAGCAACAGAGCAGGGAAAAGATGGAAGATCAAAGACCCGAGAAGCACCTCAAAGCGGGCCATGAAGTCCTGCAGGTTGGCGAATGCATCCAGGCACGGGGGCTCGAACATGCGGAGCTTGTCGAAGAGATCGTAAGCCAGGAAGTCCACGTAGGTGAGCTGTAGAGACAGGGAGAGTGAGCGCCCCCCTCATGAGGGAAACCCGACGACCCCCACAACCCAAGACAGCCCCTTTACCTTGTCCCCTGCAAACCAGGGCCTCTTTCCCAGAAACTGCGAGAACAGCTTCAGCGTGTCGGGGAGTCCCTTCAAGAAGTCCGGCTTCAGCTTCTCCTGAGACACAAAGCAGCTGTCAACTCACGCCTGCTCCCTGGGCAAGTGTCACCGGGCCCCAGGCTGGACCTGGCCCCAAGCAGTAACCGAGGGTGAGCAGTGTGTGCCAAACTACACCCAGTGGGAGCCAGCTCTGAGACCATCCACCTGTGATATCAGAGTCCGGTGGGTACCCCCCATCTGTGTGTGCTATGGGGGTGGGGGATCCCACATCCCCTGTGTCCCTGATCTGTCACCCATGCGTAATTCTCTCCCATGGGTCAGCCCAGAGGGCCATGACCCCATACCAGCTCTGAGCACATCAGACAAAGAACTGAAAGGGAAAAAAAATGAAATGATTCAGGGAAAGAACAGAAATCTCTAGTAAGTGGGAGACAGGAAACTGGATGGACGCTGGGATACATCTGGAAACAGAAGACCTAAAGAGACGGAATGAAGACAAAGTCCGACCTGGCACAGTTCCTGGGAGAATGTACTGGAACATGCAGAAGGCATGAGGAAAGCCCTGGGCTCCCAAACAAACATCTGCAGGTAACTGAGTGCCACTCAGGAGCCTGCAAGACCCTCAGACCACAGGCCTGAGCCAGAGCTCTCCTGTCACACTATCTCAGCCCCTGGGGGTGGTCGCAGGGCATTTAGGGAATTGTAGCAGAGGAGAAACTGGCAAACAGGAGTGGAAATGGGGTGCTCGGGTCTGGGCCCCTGAAACAGACCGTGTCCAGCCCAGCAGGAGGGACTCACAAAGTCAGGGCTGTAGCACGTCCGGGCCATTTGCATAAAGGTGTCCATAATCTGGTTCTCCAGGATGTCCACACGAATCTGCTCCTCTTCCGTCTCCCCACCTGCAGACACACAACACACAGTCCCCTCAGCAACCTCAGGCCAGCCCAGGCACCACACCCGTCCCCTGCACCCGCCCCACCAACACTCACACATGTTGTTCTTGCGAGCCAGGTAGCGAAGGATGGCATTGCTCTGGGTGATCTTGTGAGGCCCATCGAATAAGTAGGGCAGCTGAAAGGCAACAGGGCACGTCACAGGGTCCCCAGGCTCCCCTGCACCCCACCCTCCCCACAGGGAACCCGGCCCTCCGGTCCTTGGCCAGGGTGCGCACAAAGTTAACCTGTCAGAGGACTGAGTGAGCTGGAGCCCAGCACCAGGGAGAGGCAGGGCAGTGCCCCAGAAACGCAGAGGGGCAGAGGCACCAGGTCCTGATGGTACTGAAGAAGGCGCGCACCCCTCACACTTCCCACACCCCCACACCCCGCCAGGCTCTGCACCTACATTGGGGAAATCGAGGCCCAACTTGAATTTTTCATCCAGCCACTGGCTTCTGTCATAGTCGGGAGCTGTGTGCAGAAGACAGAATGAGAACAGAGCTCCCCAAAACCTCCCCTCATTCCGGGGAGCTGCCGTTAAATCAGTGTCATGACCCAAGAAACAGGATTTGTAATCGGAGCCAAGTCTCACATTCCAGTTTAGCGGGAAAAAAACATCCAGTGGAATCCCAGTAGCCATGGGAAAGGATTATTTCGCAGTGCCACAAAGCCTTAGGCGGAACTCCCAGCTACAATTTCAGGGTAATTAAATCCTCCCTGCCCTTCCCTGGCAGCAAGCCAAGGGGTACAGCACCCTGTCTTGTGGAGACAGGAGAAGGGGCAGGAGGAGGTCAGCACTGGGGTGCGCATGAGGGTCTGCAGAAGTCAGGGAGACACAAGGCCCTAGCCATTACCGTCGCCCATCTGGTACTTCTTCTCCTCGTACTTAGTGTCAGTGTACTCCAGAAGCATGCGGATGGCGTGAGCCAGCTGGGGAACGGCCACGGCACAGTCAGACAAAGCAGGGCCCGGAGTCCAGGTGATCTCTATACACCCCCCCCCCAGCCTTCCCCCTCACACCAACCACCACACACACACACACACACACACACACACACACACACTACACATTCCTAAGGGGTGCCCCGGGCCCCCTGGGAGGAACCACATTACAACACACCCCAGCACACCTAGCACCTCCCACGTGCCCCCTTCCATGACCCCCAGCTCCTCACTTACCCCCCGAAGGTTCCAGTACCCCAAGGTCATAGGCATGGTGCAGGTTCTGTGTTAGAGCTGACGCCTGTGCTGAACTGGGCTCTGGCTTTATGCTCGGAGCAGGGGTGGGGCGTGGCCAGAGATCAGAGCCGCCCCGCCCCTGAGAGGAGGGACCACAGAGGCCCAAACAGCACAGACTGGACAGGAGCCCCTGAGCCTCCCGGCCTAGAGTCCCGGGCTGACTCTGGCACCCGGACACTCATGCCACCTGTGCCCTCACGCATTGCTCCTGCCCGCCCCCGCCCCCCCCCCCCACGCAGCCTCTGCCCCCCACCGCGGTAAAGCAGTACTTCCTCCTCCCTCCCTCTCCCTGGTCAGGATGCCTGGCCACATCCAGACGCTCCACCACCCTCTGGGGCTCAGCGAGCTGCTGCCCAGGGTCTTCTCTGCAGCTGAACCTTGCCCCCAGCAGCCTGCAAGCAGCAGGAGTATGTAACCAGGGAAAGTTCTAGAACCTTCCTCTCCAGCAGCCGCTCTCAGCAGAATGGAGAACTTTTCAGAGGACAAGTGAACTGAGGGGAAGGGCCTGAGGATCCAAATGATACCGATGCTGAGGGGGATATGGAGGCCAGAGGGGGACCCTCAGTCCCAATTGCCACAGGACCTGGATTCACCCCTCAGAACGGACTCGAGGAAGTCATCCCATCTTAGGAAATAAAGAAAAGAAGCTAGGAAAGGACTCTGGGACCTCACCCTCCCAGCATCGCAGACTGTGCTACCCCACACAGCCTGTGAGCAGCCCCGCCCAGATTCCAGAGCCCAGCAAGGGTGCAGGTCACTGGAGGGACGTGACTGGGGTGGTTGAAGGGTGACCTTCCTGGCTTGCCCTAAGCAGCATCCTCTCTCAGTATGACCCGTGTTTGCAGGCTGCATCCATTCCAAGATGGCTTATTGCAGCAACAGTCACTGATCCTGCCTCAGAGCCTCACGAGGAGGTCATCCTGACCACTACAGACTGGAAGTCCGGGTGCAGGGCGGAGTGCAGGGGGCACTAGGAGGGACAGATATTGGCAACACGGGTGCATTTGCCTGATTACATACTGAGGGCCAGGGAGAGGGAGAGTTCATGCAGGGGAGGAGGTTGCTGGAAAGACAGGGACTCTGGGACCCTCCTCAAGACTCAGGCCCTAAGCCCCAGGACCCCCAGAAGGAGAGAGAGGAACTGTCCCAGCAGAAGGCATCACCCAGGAGCCTCCCAGTGGGGCCAGGGGTCAGTGAAGGCCAGCGGGCAGCGGGGAGACTGGGAAACTCTCATATTCAATTTAATGTCCCTAACAGTTTGATAAAAAAAAAAAAAACCCTCACCCCAGCACCGGAAAAACACCTGGAATTCCTATTCCAACGTCACCATTTGGGGGACTCACTTAAGCTCCCTGATTGCAGATGCTGGCATTCCTTTTCGTTTACTTCCCATCTCTCACACTGAACCCGGGCTGACATATAGCAAGACCCCTCCAGTTGAGCTACAGCCATACCCTAATTGTTCAGGGTTTGCTTGTTTGTTTGTGGGCTGTGCCCTAGTTGCTCAGGGGCTACCCCCAGCTCATTACAAAGAGGTTACTCCAGTGTTCCGGGGACTCCCAAGCCAGGACTCCCCCTGAGGTTCATGTGCTCCAGTTCTTAGAACTATCTCCCTGACCTTGCCTCCAAGTTTCAGAATACTGTTTAAAACAGCAAAATACATTGTGTCAGATAAGCTGTGCAGAATTCCAACCTCGCTCTCACTTCTGGACTGCATTCCGTTTTCCTCCCCTCACTACTGCTAACTGCCAACCCCTCAGTACATTAACCCCAAATCTGTAGAACGTATGGCAGGGGGCGGAGTGGGGGGAACAGCATTAGAAACACATACCTCTAGTAGAATTATGAGAGCCTCCATCATGCTCCTCCAAATTCATTTCTCAGACCCTCTCTTCCCACCTGGGTCTTTGCTGTCCTTGTGTGTGTGATGTTGAATCAGGTCCAGTAACAGATGGAGGGGAAGGAGAAACAACAGGCTCTCTGAGAACACTCTACCGGAACTCATCCCGCCCAAGCCTCCTCTCTCCCAGAGAAACATCAGCACAGACCTTCTTGAAGGGCTCTTGAAGGTCATCATGCAGGTCCTGGAGGGCAGATGGTTGACACAGAGTCGCCTGACGTTCATAGATTTAATAACTGCTGAATCCAGTTCAATGGCTTCCAGACAGAGCTGCCTTATGCTCTGCCCACGACCATGGATTTCTTCTGATTTAATGTCTCTAACACTCCAAAGGCCTGGAGCGATAGCACAGTGGTAGGGCGTTTGCCTTGCACGCAGCCAACATGGCCAACCCGAGTTCGATTCCTCCGCCCCTCTCGGAGAGCCCGGCAAGCTGCCGAGAGTATCTCGCCCGCATGAGCCTGGCAAGCTCCCCGTGATGTATTCGATATGCCAAACTCAGTAACAACAAGTCTCACAATGGAGATGTTACAGTGCCCGCTCAAACACTCCAAAGGGCTGGAGCGATAGCACAATGGGTAGGACATTTGCCTTGCACACGGCCCACCTGGATTCAATTCCTTCTTCCCTCTCGGAGATCCTGGCAAGCTACCGATAGTATCCCACCTGCACAGCAGAGCCTGGCAAACTCCCCATGGCATATTCGATATACCAAACACAGTAACAACAAGTCTCGAATATATATATTCGATATACCAAACACAGTAACAGCAAGTCTCATAATGGAGACATTACTGGTGCCCGCTCGAGCAAATCGATGAACAGTGGAAGGACAGTGCTACAGTGCAATACTCCAATACAAACCCCTCACCCCTTCCTGAGAGGAAGAGGATTAGGGGGAGGAGCAACATACAGACCCTCTCCTGTTGCTAGCTCTGAGTAAGTTGCTAGTTGCATATCGGGCCTTGTTTTTCCAGAGTGTTCAATTGGTGAGTGTGGGAAGCTGGGTTCAGCAACAGATGAAAACATATCCACCTCAGGGTGCTTTTAAAGTCTTTTAAATATAGGCTGGTTTAAAAAGGGAAGCCAAAATATGAAGACTATTTTAATCTGAAAATAAGAAAACGAAAATAACCTCTTCTGAAATGATGACAAATTCAAATTTAGAAATAACATTTCCTGCGTATTATATGTTTTAAATAAGGAAATATAAATGTGTTTACAAATACTTAGGAAAGAAGTATGAGTCCAGAGAGGTAGTACAGGGGGTAGAGCACTTACCTTGCATAAAGCCAAGTCAGGTTTATGTATGGTCCCTGGGACCCTGTCAAGAATGAGTCCTAAGTGCAGAGCCAGGAGTAAGCCCTGAGCACTGCCAGATCTGGGGGTGAAAAAGCAACATTTGAGGTAAAAATATGGAAAGAACTAGAGAATAACAAGTAGAAAAGATCAAAGGTTAAACCAATATGAATGTAAAACGTGTTAATTCTCTGTAAGCATTAGTTGTGCAAAAACAAAAAACATAAAGGCAACATCAAATTATTTTTAAAAGTCAGGAGAGAAAGAAGGCTTAAAAACAAGCGAAATAATTTTTAAAAATAATTTTTTAAAATTTTCATTTTAAAAATGAACACATCTTTAGATAATGCTAATTATTGTTACAACCACGTGGAAAAACACAAATACATGTAAATATATTAAAAGAAAGTTAGATTTTAATCAACTCATAAAAGCAACTGAAAGAAAACTGATAACACTAAAGGACAATTGGTGCTTTGGAATTTTCTAAATAACCTTACAAACCTTTGGATAAAATAGTCCAGAATTTATTAAAGAATAGAGTCAATTATGGCGTGAGTCATCGTCTTGGAGAAGGGATTCCTCTTCCTGGGTGGGTATGAATACAAATGGCTGTTGGGGTAGAGAGACAGCACCGTACAGATGTCTTGCATGCACCTGATCGAGTCCATTTCCACCAGTAGGGTCCACCCCCAGCACCACGAGCATCATCAAGTGTGACCCTGAGCAACACCATATCCTCAGTCCCTCACTACCTGCCTGTTGGGCCAAGAATCTTTGATGGGGGCTATCTCATGATGAAATAACTATAAATCATCGTCCCAAATCCAAACACCAATGATGACACCCTAGAGAACAGAATACAGTGGCTCTTTTCAAAAGCCTTTCTCCTTCTATCAAGTGTAACTAGGCAGACAAAGGGAAAGATTGATAGCAAAAAGAGAGATGAGAGAAAAGGAGAAAGTCAATGTGAAAAACATTAACATTTGGAGTTACCACTTAATCGCTTAATCACTTAACTTCCCGTTAGTCGTCGATTTGCTCGAGCGGGCGCCAGTAACATCTCCATTTGTCCCTGTCGCGTGCTAGTGTAGCCCAATGGCATCTGTTCGCTCCGGGAACATGAAGGGCCTCAAACCGATCGTTCATGATCTTGATGAAGAAGTCTGACCATCTGGTAGGTGGGCGGCCACGCGGTCTTTTGACATCCCGTGGAATCCAGTCGGTAACAGCTCTAGTCCAGCGGTCGTCTCTAAATCTCATTACGTGACCAGCCCATCTGATTTTCGACACCTTGGCAAATGAGACAGCGTCCCTGATTCTTGATGGTTGACGGATGTCGGAACTCCGGATTCTTTCTCTCATTTGAGTGAAACGTGATATTCCAAGCAGAGCTCTTTCTATTCTTCTTTGGGAGACCTGAATAGCGTTGTTATCTGGAGTTACCAAAGATCTTTTATTATTTCTGTAAACATTTAAAAAAAGGCAAAGGTAAAGGCCCTCCCGTTGTTCATCGATTTGCTCGAGCGGGCCCAGTAACGTCTCCATCGGAGACTTTGTTGTTACTGTGTTTGGCATATCGAATACATCACGGGGAGCTTGCCAGGCTCTGCCATGCAGGCGAGATACTCTCAGTAGCTTGCCGGGCTCTCCGAGAGGGGCAGAGGAATCGAACTCGGGTCGCCCATGTTGGCTGTGTGCAAGGCAGACGCCCTACCGCTTTAAGTCCGTTTTGTTTTCTTTAATTAAGAGCTGAGGGCTAGAGAGATAGCACAGCAGGGAGAGTGCTTTTCTTACACACCACTGACCTTGTTCAATCCCCAACACCACATTGGTCTCCCATGCACCGTAGGGGTAATCCCTGAGCGCAAAGTA